GGCAGGCGGAAAGGGGAGGTCGCCGCGCAAAGACCGCGCAGCTCCCTCACTCACTGGGGGCCGCCCCTGAGAGGCCAGCACCCTGGCGCGCAACGCGCACCAATAAGCCCAATAGGAAAGACGGCTCTGGGCAGCGGCTACACAACAGCTACTAAGCATACGGCTATGCTCTGCCTCAGTAGATGCTTCTGAATACCAGTTGCTGGAAGCCACAGGAGGGGAAAGTGTTCTGGTGATTAAATCCTGCTTGTGGGTTTCCCATTAGGACATCTGGTTGGCCACTGTGAGAGCAGGTGACTGGACTAGATGGGCCATTGGCCTGATCCAGCAGGCTCTTCTGATGTTCTTGACTTCACTGCCTCTTTCTGCTCTCACTGCCAGCCTTGTCCCTCAACCAGCCCCTCCTAAGCAATTCCAGAGGTGCAGATTCGGGCTTGAAGACAGCCCTTCCACACAGTGGCGTAGCGTGGGGGGTGCAGGGGGGGCCGGCCGCACCGGGCGCAACATCTGGGGTTAGGGCAAATCCACAGGTTTAGGGGGCGCAAATCCATGGGTTAGGGGCGCAAAATTACTTGCCTTGCCCCGGGTGCTGACAACCCACGCTACGCCACTGCTTCCACAAGTCCTTTCTCAGGGGCTTGGAAACAGGTAAAGTGTAAAATGGAAAACGAGTGAGGAATGGCAACTTAAACTGATGATGGAATATGCATAGCTTGCAGACTTAACTTATAGAATATAGAGAACAAGAAGGACACATGTTTAAAGAAGATTGGAAAATGTTTATTGACTATATGGGGGGGGGGGAATTGTGTACACTTAAAAACATTGGCAGCATTAAGATAAATTCAACAGTGCAAATAAGTTTTGAGTATTGGAGCCTCAGCTTCAGGATCACTTGCTCAACTGGAAGGACAGATCCTGAAGCTGAGGCTTCAATACTTTGGCCACCTCATGAGAAGAGAAGACTCCCTGGAAAAGACCCTGATGCTGGGAAAGATGGAGGGCACAAGGAGAAGGGGACAACAGAGGACGAGATGGTTGGATAGTGTTTTCGAAGCTACCAACATGAGTTTGACCAAACTGAGGGAGGCAATGGAAGACAGGAGGGCCTGGCGTGCTCTTGGTCCAGGGGGTCACGAAGAGGCGGACACGACTAAATGACTAAACAACAACAAATAATGGAATACTGAATGGTTTAGTTTATGTAAAATATGCAGGGATTTATGGCAAGCAAACTGAACCATGGAAAGAAAAGGAGGGAAGTCATTGATATTTCAAGGTTGTTGATGAATATCTTAAAACGTGAAATAGAAAATTTAATAAAAAATTATACAAAAAAGAAAAGAGGAAAAGTGTTTGCTTTTCTGAATCCAACCAACTTCATAATTGGATATGCCTATGTTCTTAGGTGTATTTGTTAGCACAACGTCCTGGCCTGAGTTTCTGGGAAGGCTTCAACAAGTAATAATAATAATAATAATAATAATAATAATAATAATAATAATAATATATTTATACCCTGCCCATCTGGCTGGGTTTCCCCAGCCACTCTGGGCGGCTTCCAACAAAGTATTAAAATACAGTAGTCTGTTAAACATTAAAAGCTTCCCTAAAGAGGGCTGCCTTCAGATGTCTTCTAAAAGTCTGGTAATTGTTCTTCTCTTTGACATCTGGTGGGAGGGCGTTCCACAGGGCAGGTGCCACCACCGAGAAGGCCCTCTGCCTGGTTCCTTGTAACTTTGGCTTCTTGCAGTGAGGACCACCAGAAGACCCTTGGCGCTGGACCTCAGTGTCTGGCAGACGATGGGGTGGAGACGTTTCTACCCCCTCTGTCTAGAAGCAATATTGGTGGTGGTGTTGTAAAACAAAATCAATCTGCCTTTTTCCCTTATGGGGTATCCAAGAGCCCATAATAGAGGTCCTTATGTAGGTTCCCTATTGGTAGGAGAAACAACAGAGGCGAACCAGAGAATATTGAGAAGCAAAGCAGCTAGTAAGCCTGATCTTTACTGGATCTGTTGCACAGGGTGCTCGCCTCACATGCAGGAAGGAGGAGGACCCAGAACAAAGTGTGCCTATAGACATTTTAAATTCCCTCCCTGGAGTCCAAGACGACCCCCAACAACATCATACATATATCACAGAAGGGGTATAGCTCAAGACCACCCCCAGACACATCATACCTACATCCACACAAAGGGCGGTCTACAGCAGAAATCTGAGTGCATTGTTTATCTCCTGTTGTTGTTTATCTCCTGTCTGGCAAGTTACCTGTTTAATGCTTACTTGATTGGATACCCTGGGGAGCCTGGCCAGTCTTTTGTAATGATAATTACTTAGTTCCTGAGCCAGGTCACAGACTCCACACCCTATTCATATCTTAAATGTGCCCTTAAGACAGGATTTGTGAAGGGGAGGCTTTTCCATTTTCCTTTGACCTTGCAGAGAAAACATTTGGTCAGTTTGGGGAATCAAAATGGTTTAGTTTGGTCTTCCTGTGCTATGTACGTGCCTTGGTTGGTACATTTATGAACATTTAATATATATCTAAGACCTTCAAATTCTTATATAGTGGACATCACTGCCTCTGTGGGGCAAGTTCCACAGTTGAACTACTGTACATGCTGCATGGATGACTTTCTTACATCTGTCCTGAATAGAGTTGGGTCCCTTCCAACTCTATGATTCTGTGAGACTGAAAAGTTTGCAAATGCTGCAATCCTTTTTCCTTAGGGTAGTTGCAAAGGACACACAGGGAGCGCCACAAAGAATGACTTTAGAACAGAAGGGGAGGGGAGGGTGGATGGACAAATTATGTCCTAGCACAGGGCACCACTGAAATTTGAAAGCCCCAAGTCCTCCACTGGGAGTCGCTGCCCCACTCCATCATTTTGGTTGCCCTTTTCTGAACCTTTCCCAGCTGAACAACACCCTCTTTGAGGTGTGGTGGCCAGAACGGTACACAGTATTTCCAATGTAGTCGCACCATCAAAGAAAGAAGAAAGTTTCTTTGTTCTTGCTTTGAAAGTCCCGAGAACCTTCTGACACAAGTGTTGGGGAGGCGAAGAGGGTCCTTAATGAGCCACACTATGACGCTCCTGGCGTCAGAAACAAGGCTGACTTTCTGAAGGACAAGAGGGCTGCTAAGAGGCCTCTGTGCTGTGGACAAATCTCCAGAGAGGCTCTCTTGACTGACAAGTGATGCCAAGGGCCACTTAGCTGTACTTTATTTCTTTTGAAAGAACTTGGTGAGAACAGGTAGAGGACACACAGCAAATCACCTTCGGCGCTTTGGTGCCAGGAACCCTATATAAACGGAGCCCTCCTCTCTCGTGCCTGGAAACAACCAGGATCAGTGGGGACAGCTGAAAGCTAGCCAGAAGACTCGTTGCACGAGATGGAGAATAACAGCAAAAGTAGCAAGGATGTCCTGATGATAGAGGCACCCCGGTGAGTCTTTCTCCACTTGGGACTGAGTTCCTGCTCCTGCAGGTATGGTGTGGAGTCCAGCAAGGAGGGCTGAGCTGGAGAGAGAGGGATGCCCAGGGATGGCCCATAGCATTTGGAACTGGGACAAGGTGGTCCTCTGGGATGTTCTCCTGCCTGCTCTCCACTCCAAGGGGCTTGTGATGGAGAACGTCCCACTGGACTCTGCCTATAGATTCTGCTCTGCCAGGGGTTGGACTGAAAGGCCCTTGGGGTCCTTTCCACTTGACAGTTATATGATTCAATGGGCCTGTCTCCCACTCTGCTGCCATTTATGGTGCCCAAAATCTGTCCCGCGAGATGGCGACCTAACACTAAACCACCCACACATTGGATTATGAAATGGATGGGTGGATGAATAGAAGCTGTGGTTGCATCAAATGGCTTTGTCCTTCTGTGCTCCCCTCTAACTATACAGTGTATACATTTTAGTTCCTATTTCCTCAGTGCCTCAGCTCTTACTAAGGTGGTAAATCCGTGTCTGCGAGCCCCACTTTAAGCTGCATGGTGCGGGGTGTCACATGAAGGAACCTTCCTCTATACAGGAACTCCTGCACATAGAAAGCTAGCCTGCAAGGGTCAAAGTCTATCCTTTTCTCTAACAGGCTGGGTTTCTTATGCACAGGGTTTTTGCTGTATGGAGGAATATTCCATCATATGAGCCTCTACCTGTATCTGAAGTGGTGCAGTCCAGAGGCAGTGCAGAGTTAAACTATGGAACTCACTCCCACAGGAAGTAGTGATGGCCACCAACTTGGATGGCTTTGGGAAGAGGATGAGACAAGAAGGAACATTTTATCATATGTGGTGGGAATGTAAGAAAGTAAAGAACTTCTGGGAAATGATATATAGTAAGATGAAAAAGATGTTGAAATATACATTTTTTAAAAAACCAGAAGCATTTTTACTTGGTATTATAGGTCAGGACATTAGTAGGCATGATGTTAAATTGTTTCTATATGCAACAACAGCGGCAAGGGTGATGTTAGCCCAGAAATGGAAGCAAGAATAAATTCCGATGAAAGAAGAATGGCAGATAAAAATTAATGGACTATGCAGAATTGGACAAAATGACAGGAAGGATTCGAAACCTGTGGGACCAGAGATTTGCAGAAGATCAGAAGAAGTATACCACTATTTGAAGAGCAATTGTAATCAACAAATTATGCTAGTAGGACTACAAGAAGATCTGTAAAGAGAAAAATATGAAACGTTACAAAGTAGAAAAAGAAAAGAGATATCAGTTATGAGATTTAAATGTAATAGGGAAAGTAATAATAATAATAATAATAATAATAATAATAATAATATAATAATAATATAATAATAATAATAATAATAATAATAATATATAATAATAATAATAATAATATAATAATAATATAATAATAATATCTTTATTGTCATTGCCCCCTCTCGGGGACAACGAAATTACTATATTAGAAATGTATATTAAGAGATTAGATTGGAAAATTTTCAGACAGGATTGATGGAAGTAAAAAAAAATTGTATAAGATGCAAAAGTATGTTTATTTACTGTTGAAAATGATAGGTTAAAAAACACACACACACACACACACACACACACACACACACACATATGGAAGAGGATGAGACAAATTCATGGAAGAGGAAAAGGCTATCCATGGCTACTTGCCCTGATGGCTAGGCTCTGCCTCCACAGTCAGAGGCAGCAATCTTCTGAAATACCAGTTGCTGGAAACCACAGGAGGAGAGAGTGCCGATCTTCTGCAAGAATCCCGCTTGCTGCTTTCCCACGCGCATCTGGTTGGCCACTGTGAGAAGAGTTTGCTGGACTAGATGGGCCATTGGCCTGATCCAGTCGGCTCTTTTTATGTGCTTACGTTTACTCCTTCCATGAGACCTTGTATGTGCCTCTGTCCGATCATTCTGTCTGGGTCAAAATGTACCACAACGTTCTCATGAGCATCTTTTCTGGTTCTGCAGGGTTACACAGCCTCCCCCGGCTCCCCGGGACTACCTTGCAAGAAGCTCTTGATCGTGGTGGTGGTGGTGGTGGTGATCGTTTTGGTTGTCCTGGCTTTTGGGCTGATGGGGCTGCGCATCACGGAGAAGCACACAGAGACAGTAAGTACAGCATGATGAATCACAGAATTGTAGAGTTGGATGGGACCTCACGGGTCATCTAGTCCAACCCCTGCAATGCAGGAATCACAGCTAAAGCGTCCAAGACAGATGGCCACCCAACTTCTGCTTAAAAACCTCAAGTGAATGAGGTCTGTGAGTCACCTCAAGAAGTGCCACAGCTAGTACAGTGGTACCTCGGGATGCGAACGGGATCCGTTCCGGAACCCCATTCACATCCTGAATAGAACGTAAGACGCGACGGCCGTGTTTTGCTGCTTCTGCGCATGCGCGTGACATCATTTTGAGAGTCTGTGCATGCGTGAGCAGCGAAACCTGGAAGTAACGCACTCTGTTACTTCCAGGTTGCACCGGAGCGCAACCTGAAAGTGCTCAACCTGAAGCACATTCAACCCGAGGTATGACTGTAATTCCTCAAATGCCTGTTGGGGCTAAAGGTGGGTCCTTCACCTGCGAAGACTGAAGACAACTGGCTTAAACACCTGTGCACTGAACCTTGTTGAGTACTGTGGTTTCCCTAAGCAGAAGCAAATTCCAAGGGGGAAGACTCTGCTAAACAGCGGGTTAACCTTTAGCGCTCCAGATCTTGCTGGACTCCCACTTCCACCACCCTTGGCTACTTGTTCCCAGACCTGCTGGGTGAGGAGTCCCACCATACCCGGAGGGTCAAAGGTTCCCACTCCTCTGTCTTCTTCCCAAAATGATGGTAGTTGTTTGTTTTCATAGTACTGGCGACTCTCAAGGCCCGTACACACTTCCACCAGTCTGTTGTAGTGGTTAAGAGCAGTAGACCTGTAATCTGGTGAACCGGGTTCGCTTCTCCGCTCCTCCACATGCAGCTGCTGGGTGACCTTGGGCTAGTCACACTTCTCTGAAGTCTCTCAGCCCCACTCACCTCACAGAGTGTTTGTTGTGGGGGAGGGTTTGTTGTGGGCCTAAAGCGGTTGAAACTGGCCAAGACTGGTTTAAACCAGCCTCGATCGGTTCAAACCAGTTTGGACTGGTTCAAGCTGGTCTCAACAGGTTCGAACCGGTTTGGACTGGTTCCAACCAGCCTGGACCTGTTCTAAAAATCTTGGGCCAGTTTCAAATGAAACTGCACCTGCTCCAACTGGCCTGGACCTGCTTGAATCTGTCTGGAACTGTTCAAACAGGCTTGGTCTGGGACAAACTAAGAGCCAGTGTGGTGTAGTGGTTAAGAGTGGTAGACTCGTAATCTGGTGAACCGGGTTCGATTCCCCGCTCCTCCACATGCAGCTGCTGGGTGACCTTGGGCCAGTCACACTTCTCTGAAGTCTCTCAGCCCCACTCACCTCACAGAGTGTTTGTTGTGGGGAGGAAGGGAAAGGAGAATGTTAGCCGCTTTGAGACTCCTTCGGGTTGTGATAAAGTGGGATATCAAATCCAAACTCTTCTTCTTCTCTTCTTCCACTTGCCTGGAAAGCTTGGGTCTGAGTGGTTTTCCACTTGACCCCACACTTTCTAGGCAGTCCTCCCCTTGCTCCACTCCTTTCCCAGGGAAAACCCACACTTTAGCTCTAAACTGGAGCAAACATCCATCCAGGAAAAGCCTGAATTCCTGTTTGCTCCAGCTGAGTGCTAAGAAGCAGTTCTAGGGACAGCGCATAAAGTCAAAACCAGGTGGGATTGCCCATGTCTTTTTTCCTGGACTCACATCCCCTTTCCACCTCTTATATTTATATTTATATTTATATTTATATTTATATTTATATTTATATTTATATTTATATTTATATTTATATTTGTATTTGTATTTGTATTTGTATTTATATTTATATTTATATTTATATTTATATTTATATTATTTATATTATATTTATATTATTTATATTTATATTTATATTTATATTTATATTTATATTTATATTTATATTTATATTTATATTTATATTATTTATATTTATATTTATATTTATATTTATATTTATATTTATATTTATATTTATATTTATATTTATATTTATATTATTTATATTTATATTTATATTATTTATATTTATATTTATATTTATATTTGTATTTATATTATTTATATTTATATTTATATTTATATTTATATTTATATTTTATATTTATATTTATATTTATATTTATATTTATATTTATATTTATATTTATATTATTTATATTTGCAAAGCATGCAAAGCTGAAAGCACCCAAGTTAAATGCTCCAGTTCAAACATCTCGTTCCCTTTGCTCTTCATCACTCAACATGGTCTCCTTTTCAACGTCTAGGTCCTGCAAATGACCATCCAAGGCCTGGATGGGGAGGGCTCCCCACAGCATCTTTCCATGAGCAGGAAGGAGAGACTGGCCACCTTCCATGTCAGCAGGGTCAACTCTTCGGCCACCGTGGTGTATGACTACAGCAACGTAAGATTTGCTGAAAGTGGTTCCTAGTTCCCAAAGGAGTCGTGCAGCTTTGCCCAAGGCCTGCTTGTCCACCCAGCAGGTCCCTTTTAGAAAGAATAACATCTATCCTGACAAGGGAGCAAGTCAGTGGCGAGTCCTGGTGGGGCTGGCTGGATCTGTTGGTTTCCTTAAGCACAAAGGACAACAATATTGTGTCACCTTAAAAGCTAACTAGATGGGACGCGGGTGGCGCTGTGAGTTAAACCTAGGACTTGCCAATCAGAAGGTCGGCGGTTCGAATCCCCGGGACTGGGTGAGCTCCCGTTGCTCGGTCCCTGCTCCTGCCAACGTAGCAGTTCGGAAGCACATCAAGTGCAACTAGATAAATAGGTACCACTCCAGCGGGAAAGTAAACGGAGTTTCCGTACGCTGCTCTGGTTCTCCAGAAGCGGCTTAGTCATGCTGGCCACATGACCCAGAAGCTGTACACCGGCTTCCTCAGCCAATAAAGTGAGATGAGCTTTGCAACCCCAGAGTCGGTCACGACTGGACCTAATGGTCAGGGCTCCCTTTACCCCTTTAACTTTTAAAAGCTAACTTGAGACTATGAAAGTTTATGTCCCAAACTTCCCCCTGCTTATCTGCGGGGATTTTCATCCTTGAAAAGTCCGAATCAGAAAGAAAAACCCTGCGTTTAAAGTGGGAAAGGGCTGGTACTGGGACAACATTGGAATGGGCTACACATTTTCTTCTGGTTTGGACGAGCCCTTGGGGCTGATCCAGGCTTCCTCTTGTGTCACTGCTTCCCCCGTGGAAAGCCACTCTTCAGTGCAAATGGCAATTTAGGTTTTCTCTGGATGGCCATTTCTTCTGATCGATCGCAGGTTTTCCGTTGGAAAGGAGAGGGCAAGGGACAAGACTTTGTGATGCATGCCTAGAACGTGCAAATCAAGCAGAAGACCGCTCAGACTCATGCTGTCTAGGCATGGCACAAGGGAAGTGTTGCTGAGCCCAGCACAGTGGTACCTCGGGTTACATACGCTTCAGGTTACATACACTTCAGGTTACACACTCCGCTAACCCAGAAATAGTGCTTCAGGTTAAGAACTTTGCTTCAGGATAAGAACAGAAATCGGGCTCCGGCGGCGCGACGGCAGCAGGAGGCCCCATTAGCTAAAGTGGTGCTTCAGGTTAAGAAAGTTTCAGGTTAAGAACGGACCTCCGGAACGAATTAAGTACTTAACCTGAGGTACCACTGTAGTGGAAAGGTGGATTAGAACCAGAAGAGAATTGAGAGCAGGGCAGGGCAGGTTAATCCCAAGAGAAAAGCCTTCCCTCTCCCTTCAAAAAGTCTGAAGCATCGTATCAAAGCCACACATGCTTCTTATTGACATGATAGACGTTTGTAAAATTTTGCCTGGCATGGAAAAAGCGGATGGGGAAAAGTTTCCCCTCCCTCTCTCCTAACACTAGAACTCCTGGCCATCGACTGAAGCTCAGCGTTGTAAGTGTCAGGACAGAGAAAAGAAAGCACTGCTTCATGCAGCACATAGTTAAACTGCGGAACTCACTGCCACAAGAGGCAATGAGGGCCACCAACTAAGATGGGCTTTGAAAAGAGGATTAGACAAATACATGGAGGAGAGGTGGCTACTAGTCTTGCTGACTATGCTCTGCATCCTTGTGAATAGCAGCTGCCTGGAGGTGCGAGTGTTCTTGTGCTCAAATCCTGCTTCTGGGTTTGCCATTAGGGACATGAGAGCAGGGTGCTGGACTAGATGGGTGGCTGGCCTGATCCAGCAGCCTCTTCTGATGTTTTTATATGTTCTTATTTATTTGGGGGATGCGGGTGGCACTGCTGGTAAAAGCCTCAGCGCCTAGGGCTTGCCGATCGAAAGGTCGGCGGTTCGAATCCCCGTGGCGGGGTGCGCTCCCGTTGCTCGGTCCCAGTGCCTGCCAACCTAGCAGTTCGAAAGCACCTCCGGGTGCAAGTAGATAAATAGGGACTGCTTTCTAGCAGGAAGGTAAACGGCGTTTCCGTGTGCGGCTCTGGCTCGCCAGAGCAGCGATGTCACGCTGGCCACGTGACCCGGAAGTGTCTCCGGACAGTGCTGGCCCCTGGCCTCTTGAGTGAGATGGGCGCACAACCCCAGAGTCTGTCAAGACTGGCCCGTACGGGCAGGGGTACCTTTACCTTTACCTTTATTTATTTGGGGGAAGAATAAAATGTGTTGTCAAAAGGGCTCATTCTGCTCTGAAAACCAAAAGCCTTGGCATTTGACTCAGCCCTAGTCTTTGCTTACCTAGTGTGCGTGAACAGAAGATACAACAGAGGAAGGCACAGGGAGAGAAGCTTGGAGGGGGGCATGGGGTCTGGGATATGAGGTAGAGCCCTGAGAAGGTGGGGTTGCCCTTGCACACATACCTTGTTGAGATCCAAAATATGTACAGTATAAAGGTAAAGGGACCCCTGACCATTAGGTCCAGTAGTGGCCAACTCTACTGGACGCGGGTGGCACTGTGGGTAAAAGCCTCAGTGCCTAGGGCTTGCCGATCGCATGGTCGGCGGTTCGAATCCCCGCGGCGGGGTGAGCTCCTGTTGCTCGGTCCCAGCGCCTGCCAACCTAGCAGTTCGAAAGCACCCCCGGGTGCAAGTAGATAAATAGGGACCGCTTACCAGCAGGAAGGTAAACGGCGTTTCTGTGTGTGGCTCTGGCTCGCCAGATGCAGCTTGTCACGCTGGCCACGTGACCCGGAAGTGTCTGCGGACAGCGCTGGCTCCCGGCTATAGAGTGAGATGAGCGCACAACCCTAGAGTCTGGCAAGACTGGCCCCTAGGGGCAGGGGTACCTTTACCTTACCTTTAGTGGCCAACTCTGGGGTTGCGGCGCTCATCTCGCTGTATAGGCCGAGGGAGCCGGCGTACAGCTTCCGGGTCATGTGGCCAGCATGGCTGAGCCGCTTCTGGCGAACCAGAGCAGCGCATGGAAACGCCGTTTACCTTCCCGCCAGAGCAGTACCTATTTATCTACTTGCACTTTGACGTGCTTTCAAACTCCTAGGTTGGCAGGAGCAGGGACCGAGCAACGGGAGCTCACCCTGTCGCAGGGATTCGAACCGCCTACCTTCTGATCAGCAAGTCCTAGGCTCTGTGGTTTAACCCACAGCGCCACCCGCATCCCTATGTACAGTATACCCACAATAAAATACCTCCTGCAATACAGGAACCACAGCTAAATTGACAGCCTTTGCCTTTGAACAGCTCCTGATTGGCTACAGATCTTGGCCGGGACAGTCCTGCTACATCACCAGAATGAAGAAGGAAAACATCCAGAGCCTGGATGCTGCTGTCAAGGTGTTCCAGAACATCCAGGTTAGAATAATTGCCCTAACTCTACATTCAGAGTTTCCAAGGCATGGAAAAAGCAAATCATGTGGGAAGATTGCTTCTGGACTGTACCACTTCACACAGTGCAGCTGGCTGAATGTCCCACAATCCTCCAAAACAACCACAAACCCAGTACTGGGACACATAACACCCCAGTCTGCAGTAATCCAAGGACATTGTGATTTGCTGTTTGGGCTGTTTGGGATAGCAGTTGTCTTTTGAGAGTGGATAGATGGGGATCCCTGTCCTTAAGGCTGGCTGCCACTGGTTTGCAGGCAGGACATGAAGGCAGAATGATAACAGACCAGAGCTTTCTCATGTCCCATTTCTCCATTCGGGAAAACTGCTCTTTAGTGCTCAATCAGAGCAAATGGCAATTCCGTTTTTCCATAGGTTACCATTTGTTCTGATCTATCGCAGGTTTTCCCTCCCTCAGAAAGGAGTGGGGCAAGGGGAAAACCACTTGGACCCGTGCTTTCTAGGCACACAGGACAAGCGGATGTGTGAACAAGTCCCAAGAGCTGAAGGGAATCCATCCACACCCACCTGTTGATTGTCGGAACATCTTTAAAGCTGCTTAGAAAACTATGCAGAACCTTTCCCAGAGGGATTTGGAGGGACTGTGTGAAGCGGTCAGGCTGTGTCAAAGTTTGCAGGGCAATTTTATATTTCGGAGAATATACCCCAGGGTCGTACCATTAACAAAGAGATCTGTTTTTGCAGCCCAGACCTCCAGCGTCATTCCTCAAAGAGAATGAGGAGGGAACAGAAGGGCTCCCGGCGCCGCTCGCTGACCGTTCTATCCTGGGTACCACCATCAACATCCTCTGTAGCAGCGTCCCCATCTACTGGGCTTAGAGGAGGAGAGATGGGTGAGAGAAATGAAGACCAAAGACCCAACAGAACATGCACACCAGCAACGAAAGTCAAACTTCCTGCAACAGGAATGCTATGCAAGAGAGATCCCTGAAAATGGCCCTGTGGCCCTCAGCCTTTAAGTAGAGATCATAGAACTGCAGAATTGGAAGGGACCCAAAGTCTCATGGAGTCCAACCCCCTGAAATGCAGGAATCACAACAGATGATAGAGATGATAGATAGATAGATAGATAGATAGATAGATAGATAGATAGAGATATATCTGCAAACAACACCCCTTTGCTAATGTCTTGGCATCAGGGGATTTGCTAATGCCTTTGCTAATGTCTTGGTCGATTGCCATGACTTCATTAGAATAGAAAGCCACATGCAGCAAACACATGGATTGAAGCATTGCTAGACTAAGCCATTTCATGGGAAGGGGAGCCATTCATCAAAGGCAGAGCCCATGCAGAAAGTCCCAAGTTCAAGCCCTGGTATCTCCAAGGTACCATTCTCATGCCTGAAATCATGAGGAATCAAATGGTGGAGAACATGCTGAGCTAGCTGGACCCATCTGGGCTCAGGCTACAGATAGAAGCTGGAGTGCATGTTCTCATATCTGCACACACTTCTGGCATGGTATTTCATAATTATTTTATTTCACAAAATTTGTACTCAGCTTGATCGTAAAAAACAAACAAACAACAACCTCAAAGCAGATTACAAAAAAAAAGATAAAACCAAAAAATTAACAATAATAATTTAAGACCTACAAAAGTAGGGTTGGCATACACCCGGAATTTCACAGACATACATGGAATACCGCAGTCGGAAGCACTGTCCGGGTGGAAATTGGGCAAAAAAAAAGTCTTCGAAAATCTGGACGTACGGCAACCATGTCAGCAGTGTCATTTTTCTTTAAAAATTGCTGGGGAAAGTCCTTTTTATTGTGATTTCACCAAAAAAGAACCTTGGGCAAAAAACCCCAAAACAAAACAAGCCATCTCAACAACATTCCCAAGAGGGGAAAAAACTCAACAACTTTTGTGTCCAGATTTTCACTTTTTGAAATATGGCAACCCCACGAAAAGTTAAAATAACAACAGGCTAAAAAGCAGATTAAAACTCATATCAATCTTCTAAATATCTGGGTTAGGCTGCCCTAAAACTTAAATATTTTCAGCAGGTGCTGAAAAGAGTACAGTGAATGTGTGCGCCTGGTATCAATAGGCAGGGAGTTCCAAAGTCCTAAAAGACTGAGTTCATACAAATGTGGAACAGGTATTATGTGGCACCTGTAGCAGTGCCAGTTCTGCCAAAGAGGTCCAGCGGGCAAGGCAATCTTGTGGGTAATAACTCTCTCCATGCCAGCTTAGTGTGTGCAGGATGCTAGTCCAACATGTGCAGAGAGAGTTTGCTTTCAGATGGGGGGCGGGGGGAGACATCCAGACATTTAATCCACTAGCTGCAAATTGAGGGAAGGCACTTAGTCCAACCATGTTATCATCATGTATCCTGGCCCTAAGCTGATGGGAATTCAAGACAAGGCAAGAAAACACATTTTATGTACTAAACCTTTTTAAAAAAATCCATTGTTATAAGAATACAGTAATTCTGCTTGAACATCTCTAGCTGCTGATATCAACCATGCACATCTTTTTATTGTATACTTTGTACTGGTCGTTTGCTGGTTATGTTCCCCTTTTCTTAACGCTGCTTGTCAAATCTATAATAATCAATAAACTGCAAGAAGGCAAAATCTGAGCTGTTGGGGGGGGCGGGGATGTCTTAATAATGCCAGAAAAGATCTGGCCTTGAGTTTGCTGTGAGTTTGCTGGAAGATCCAGTACGTATAAAAATAAGTATTTCTTTATGCAGCACATAGTTGAACTATTGTAAAGAAAAAAAATCTGCCCCTTTTCCCTTATGGGGAATCCAAGACCCCATATAGAGTCCTTACAAAGGTTTCTTATCGGTAGGAGAAAATAACAGAGGCCAAACAGAGAATATTGAGAAGCAAAGCAGCTGGTAAGCCTGATCTTTATTGATCTGCTGCAACAGGGTCCTCGCTCACCACACACAGGAGGGAGGAGGAACCCAGAAAAATGGCATGCAAGGCCTTATATAGACATTATAAATTCCCTTCCCTAGAGCTGAAGACCACCCCTCCATACATCACACATACATCACAGAAGGGGTGTAACCTAAGACCACCCCCCAGATACATCATACCTACAGCAGAAATCTGAGTGACTTGTTTATCTCGTCTGACAGGTTACCTGTTTAATGGTCACTTGATTGGACTGATAAAAGATTACAGTCTTTTGTAAAGATAAATACTTAGTTCCTGGGCCAGGTCACAAGCTCACACCCTATTCATATCTTAAATGTGCCCTTAAGACTGGATTTGTGAAGGAAAAAGACAATGGGGAGGTTTCCCACTTTGACCTTGCAGAGAAATACAGTGGTACCTCCAGTTACATACGCTTCAGGTTACATACGCTTCAGGTTATTGACTCCGCTGACCCAGAAATAGTACCTCAGGTTAAGAGCTTTGCTTCAGGATGAGAAAAGAAATTGTGTGGCGGCGGTGCAGCAGCAGCGAGAGGCCGCATTAGCTAAAGTGGTGCTTCAGGTTAAGAACAGTTTCAGGTTAAGAATGGACCTCCAGAACAAATTAAATACGTAACCAGAGGTACCACTGTAATTGGGGTCAGTTTGTTAAGGACTTTTTTTCTGTGGGGTTTTCAGACATGTGGTTTATATTTTTATGTACGTGTTTGCTTGGTACATTTATGAACATTTATTACATATCTAAGACCTTAAAATTCTTATCACACTATGACAGGGGGCAGTGACAGCCACCAATTTGACTGGACAAATTCATGGAGGAAAGGGCTATTGGTGGCTACTAGCCACCCAAGTTTGTGGCTATCGCTGCTTCCTGTGGAGCGAGTTCCATAGATTAACAATCTTAGTGCAAGAATCGCTTGCTAACATGGACAGACTGTGGCCCACAGCCGATAGATTGGCTTCTCCTCTCCACAATTTAGGAAACTGCTCAGATAAGAGGGAACAGTCAAGACAGCTATTTCCAGTCTTTCAAAGCATCCAGGTTCCACCTACAATTCTGGCCTAAAACAGAACAGCTGCCATTTGGAAGATCGCGTGAGATCTTTCCTATGAACACATACTAAATGGTTTAGCATTACATCTCTGCTGCTGTCATAACAGCAGAGCTCTGCCAATACACAGGGAAGGTTCACTTAGCGCTGTGGACAAAGGAGAAAGGTAGGGCAAAGGCATTATTGATGACACGGAATGCTTATCCTTGCTTCAGCTCACTCACAGTTAACCTCATACAAAGTGCTGATGGAATAGAGGAATATCCCACTGTTATAGGAATTCTAAGGTCTTATATATATATATGTCAGGGAACTGCCATCGGCTCATGTAGTGGTTCTAGGGGTTGCTCGTGCGTAAGCCGGTGCAAACACCTGGCTGGGTTGCCTGAGTGAACCTTTTCTTTTTCTTTTTTTTAAGAGATATTTATTCAAATTTTACAAAAAGAAAACGTAGGTTTACAAAATAGAGAAAATTATAACAACAATTAACAAACTAAAATTATAACAACAATTAACAAACTAAAAAAAAACACACATAGGAAAAAGAATAAAAAGGTACAAAATACAAAAAACAGGTAGCTGAAAAAAAGAAATTTAAAAAGAAGATATATCCATTTTTCAATATCTTTGGGCTCATTTACCGGTACTTGTTTCCTTGACCTCCTCACACCTCCCCTTTTTGTATTCCCATTCACAAAGACATTTCAGCAAATCCTTACCCTCTTTCAATTATCTTTACTCTATATCTTAACCTATTATAACTATATATTTTCATCCATTATCAATCCATATTTGCATATTCTTGTTAATCTTATTACCAATACCACTTATTTTCAATCCAACATCATTTTAATATTCATTAATTTTACTGAGTGAACCTTTTCTGTCTGGACAGCCACTCTCCCGTGGCTGTCTCAATCGCTGGCAGAATCCGTCAGTGGGCGTTTCTTAAATTTCTTCCAGCAAAGAAGCTCTTTGACGCCTAGTCTCCTCCTACTCTCTCTGCGCGAAAGCCTTCTGCGCAAGGAGGGCGTAGGCAGCGGGAGGACCTCTACTCTCCCCGCTGGTCCCCGGCAAGGAGTCATGGGACCGCTTCGCCGCTTCCCCCATCTGCCCCCCTTCTCCACTGGTGCTACGCTGATTCTCTTCCCCAGAAGATGGGCTGCCTCTCCCAATCCCAGGACGCTCTCTGGAATCCCTCTGGATTTGCTCTCTCTCTCCGGCACTGATGGCAGTTCCCTGACAGCTCAGGGGCGAGAGGGGGAAAGCCGGATGGATTACAGAGAGCCCCCAAAGATCGTGGGAAGCAGCACCTCCTTAGCGGAGGTGCGTAACCACGCCTCCAGTGGAGAGGAGCTTCAGGGCTCGGAGGAGGTGAGGTGGTGCCAGTTCACCTTGCCTGGGCAAAGCGGGGAGAAGAGAGGTCCTCTGTTGCCCATGTCCTCCCTGCGCAGTAGGCTTCTGCGCCGAGAGGGGAGGCGCAGATTGGGCGTCAAGAAACTACTCTGCTGGGGAAGGTTTAAGGACCGCCCACTCACAGATTCTGCCAGTGAATGAGCCAGCCACAGGAGAGTGGCGCTCTGCATGGTGAAGGGTTTTTGGCACCAATAACGAGGCTTTACAGCCGACCAGGGAGGCATTTGCCTGATTGCTCTCGAGTAACCCCCTGATATCCTTACAATATATATAAATAAATGTTCATAAATGTACAAGGCAGCACACATGCATAAGTATAGTGTCTGAAACAGTACAGGAGAGCAATCCTGAAGCCATTTTGTCTCTCCCAAATTGACCTCAAATATTTCTCTGCAAGGAGGAAGGAAATGGGAAAAGCTTTCCAATTGTCTTTGGACTGTAGGGGCTTAACCCTCCCTTTTCAAATACAGTCTGGCAAGTATCTGTTAAGCTGAGGACACTATCAATATGCGTAAGAGCATGGGTAGGCAACCTAAGGCCCGGGGGCCGCAAGTGGCTCAATCGCCTTCTCAATCCGGCCCGCGGACGGTCCGGGAATCAGCGTGTTCTTACATGAGTAGAATGTGTCCTTTTATTTAAAATGCATCTCTGGGTTATTTGTGGGGCATAGGAATTCGTTCATTTTCTTTTTAAAAATATAGTCCAGCCACCCCACCCCCACCCATCTTCCCTGTAACCTGAAGCGTATGTAACCCGAGGTACCACTGTATCCTAAAGACCCCACAGTGAGCTTCATTCCAAAGGACCAGCACACTCTGCATAGCCCGAAGCCTCTCATTGCTCAGAGTTTGGGCTGCATGAAACAATATGACTTCTTTTGTCAGTGCTACCGACACAACTGCAGGAAGCTGAAACAGGGTGTCTGAAGAAGGAACATTTCAGAACAAGCTTGCGCAGGAGTCCTCTGCACAGACAAACAGACAGAGTGACTGAATTATACATTTCCACAGCAGTTTGGGGACAGGCAGCTGAGCACAAGGCTCCCTTTAAAGTAGTGGCTCAGAGAAGGCACTCTCTGCTATGAATAAGTGAAAGCTCCTGTGTCTGAGGGAGGTTGATGGGGGGGTCATCCAAATATGTTGGGCGAAAGCCTTAGGAGTGCATCGTCACTCACACTGGGCAATAGATATCAGTCATTATATAGATATGGAAGCATGGGAGCGATTGTGGAATACAGATATAAAATTTACAGCATGTTATGGTTTAAGATGGTGACAGCAGTCACGAAATTAAGACGCCTGCTTC